ATTCACAACACTGGCAGAGGCAGTACAGTTGGGGGGTCAGGGGTCTCCCACTGGTGACTGTACACACAGTTGCTCTGGTGGTGGTGTTAGCACAGGGGCAGGGTGCTGGCAGGAGTGGGTCTGAATGTGTAATTTCTGTATGTTAACCCAGCCCAGGTGGCTAGTCAGGGTGGAGGAGGGACTCTATTCTCCTTGCCTACTTTCATTCTGGCAGCAGTGTTGGTGCAAGGGCAGGGCACAGGTGGGGATGGAGCTAGTGGGCTCTGTGCCCTCCAAGGCTTGAATGCAGTAGTGGTAAGGCGAGGGAGGGGGAGCAAAGTGCAATGGTGGTAAGGTAGCACACACACACATGCATGCTGGTGGGTCAGGGAAGGCAAAATCCACAGGTACACACACGTGCTGGCAGAGCAATATGTGGGGTGGCAGTGGGCCCAGGCAAGCTCCATTGGGGAGAGATCAGGTGAGTTGGTGCATTGCTCTGGGGACCACTCTGCTGGAGCTCTCTGCTGGTCAGGTGCAGTCTGCCTGTGTAGGAGCTACGGTGTGGGCCCCCAGGGCACCTGCGTCTGCACTGTCAGCAGGCTCGGCCAGACTGGGGCCCGGGGAGAGGTCAGCAGACCAAGAGGTGCTCAGGTCAGACCAGCCCCATCTGATGGGCAAGACTGCCCTGCAGAGTTCAGGTTGACAGTTCCCCTAGGGCTAAAGTCTCCTCTGGAAGCAAGTGGAGCCTGGAGGGATGGGCATCCCTCACCATGCTCCCTTACCGATACTCCTGCACCAAATCCCCTGAGCTCTGCAAAACCTGGCATGCTGCCCCTGCTACTTCTCTAAGCAGTTCTCCTCACCAACTCAAGTCTTCATGGTGGTTGAAGAGTCTCCTCCTGCTGGGATTCTAGAGGCCTTTGGCAAAAGCAGGTTACTCCTTGCCAGTTGAACTCACTCCTTCCTCCAGAGTTGTCAGGGGCCAGGAATGAGTCCCGGTGGACAGTTGCTCTGTGCAGGATTCCCAGCTTCCTCTCCCTTCAGCCCAGCTTCTGTTTCTTCCCTCCATCCACTTTCAGTGCCTTCCTTCTGAGGATCTATTAGGAGTGAGCCAGTCATCTCGATCCCTCAGTGGCAGCTGTTCCACCTGGGTGCATCTATATACTCGATATTCTATATTCCTTCTTCATTCATTCAACACATAGAGATTAACCATCTACTATATGCCAAATATTCCTCTGTTAGCCTCCCTGCAGTAGCTTATAAAGACAAAGAAGTAATTATAAGGGTGTCCTCTGTCAACATATGCACAAAATAGATACACATGGCAAATAAATGGAGGCCAAAAGGAAGAAACATAGTCATTTTGAAAGTATGTGGTGCCTTAACTAAGCTGAGCAAAGGTTTTATCAAGTGAAGGAAGGAAGGGTGCCCAGAAATTATATATATGATGTACATAATACATACAATAATATAATTAATATATGATATATCTTATGTATATACATTATATACTTCTCCATGTAGAGAAGGGTGGCAAGATATTAAGGCACCTGAGCTAGGTGTAGAGAGTGTTACTTTCCATATCATGAATTCTCTCTTTAGATGATAGGGGAAATCACTAAAAAATTTTAGCAGCAGATTTAAGACCTTATTTACAACATAGCTCAAGCACACCAACTTTGGATGGCATATCCCAATATCTTATCAAATAGAAGCAAAATAGCTCTTGTTATTAAATACATTAAGATTTAGATGAAATTATGCCTGTGCCTTTCTGGAGCAGTGACTTTTAATTCATAAGTAAAATTCTTGTTCTTCTATGTTTTACCAATTGCTTACTTTATGATTCTCTCTTTGACATATTCTAACTCCTAGTTTCTCTCAATATCTCTTCATACAAACCATTGTCTTTTCAGTAATTTTTATAATTCTGCATTTTATTATCCTTTGTGATTTATCTCTTAACATAAATCATTTTCTAATTCATTTTACAGTAATTATTATAATTAAATTTTAATAATAACCACATAACAACTAATCTCATTATAATTAAAAATGATATAAAGCTGGGAGGGATATAAAATATTTTGTATTTCAAGTCGGGACCCAAAAGGATCTCTGCAAGCTGGAGTGATTACTGGACTCCAAGAAAATTCAGGCAATAGTGATAAAATGTAAATTCCTACATTTGAGTTGTAAAAACCAAGTACCCCACAGTAATATGCAAGACAGCTCAAGCAAGAGAACTTTTAGCTATTGTTAAACTCAGTGGAAGAATTCTCCCAAAGCAGAATTCCTATCATCCTGGTCAGATGATATGAAGAATGTTGGACTCTTGTAGGCTCACCACATTCTAAGAAAGATATAGAAAAATCTTTACATGTTCAGAAAAGTAAGATTGAAAAGACTAAAAAAAGTGGGGATTTATGATATTTAGCTTAGGAAAGAGTCCATTGTTTTAAAATATGCAGAAAACCATCATGTGGAAGACAAACAGGGGTCAGACTTGTTCTTTATGGCCTTAAAGAGAAGCAGTATGACCAAAGGAGTGAAGGTGGAGGAATTTATGTAGATAGATTTTGTTTTAGAATAAAGAATAATTTTCTAAAAGTTAGACCTGTCTGATGACAGTATGAGCTGGAAGTGTTCAAGCACGGGATGAGTGACTTCTTATGAAGTTGCTAGACAAGGAATTGGAGCTTTACCATGATTTTTATTTTAGGCTTCTGAAGTTTATTTAGGGATACTATTTTCACTGACATGAATAACCTCTTACACTATCTTCACTTTTAAAAATCATTCCTGGTTGGGCGCAGTGGCTCATGCCTGTAATCTCAGCACTTTGGGAGGCAGAAATGGGCCGATCACTTGAGGCTGGGAGTTTGAGACCAGCCTGGCCAACATGGCGAAACCCCGTCTCTACTAGAAATGCAAAAATTAGCCGGGCGTGGTGGTGCATGACTGTAATTACAGCTACTCAGGAGGCTGAGGCAGGAGAATCACTTGAAACTGGGAGGCAAAGTTTGCAGAGAGCTAAGATCCTGCCACTGCACTCCAGCCTGGGTGACAGAGCGAGATCCTGTCTCAAAATAAATAAATAAATTGAGTAAATAAAATAAAAATAAAAATGATTCTTACCCTTTGAGACAAAGATAAAATCTTCCAAATAAGCTTTCTCTTCATGCAATTTAGAATTTTCCTTATGTAATGTAAATTCTTATTGTATTTATTGCTCTTTTAATATTAGTCTTTTATGAACCATTTGAGAGTAAACTGCAAATAGTATTTCCTATCACCCCAGAATTCTCCCATTTACCAAAAACAAGGATACTTTCTTACGCTCGAAGTCAAGAAATAGTAATACCACACTTCTATCTAAAACACAGACGTTATTCAAACTGTTCCAGCGATGACTCTTTTTTCCTTCTGCTCCAGGATCTCATCCAGGAACTCAGTGCATTTACTTGTCATATCTCTTTGGTCTTTTCCAACCTGTGACCAGTTCTTCACTCTGCCCTTGTTTTTCGTCTTCTCATTAGATAGTTGAGGGTCTATAGCTGGGCCGTCTAATATGGTGGCCACTAAGTACATGTGGTTGTTAAAACTAATTAAAATAAAATTTAAAATTCCACCTCTCAGTCATACTAGCCATGTTTAAGTGTTCAATAGGCACATTTGACATGTGGTTATCAAATTTGACAGTGCAGCTAAAAACATAGGACATTTTCGTCATTGGAAAAAGTTCTATTGGACACTGATTAGTCTTCAGAATGATCCTCAACCTAGGTCTGCCTGATGTTTCCTCATGACCTGTTTCAAGTCACAGTCATGATTTCTTTGCAAGAATTCTATGGAAACACGTCATGTTCTTTTTAGTGCATCCGTAAGGAAATATTATTTTCCTTTAATATCACTGTTTGGTTTGACTTTATTCCACACTACCATCCACAGCATTTACTGAGTTCTGCTCTGTGTATGACACTATGACCTCATTACAGAGTACATAATCTAGTCCTTGATATCAAGGAACTTCTCAACCAAGATGTTACCTGTGGGATAGATAGATAGATAGATAGATAGATAGATAGATAGATAGATAGATAGATACAGATAGAGAGAGTGTGTGTGTGTGTCTAAGCTTTAGCTACAGAGAGATCTATATTTGTGTTGTGGTACTGCCATTTTATAGAACAATTTCCCTGTTCAATCAACATGTATGTTTCAATTGCACGCTTTTGTACAAACCATTGCAGGATACGAGTTTATTGAAAGCAGGGACCATGACTTTCTCGGTATCTATTCTTTTACGGCACCCAAGTTAGGTAGGCCTCCCAATAGCGGTGGATTGATGGAACAGAAAAAACCATAAATGCTGTGATGATTCAAAGGCTATATAAAGTTTAGTCGCAAATAAAGTTTAGGAAAGCTGTGTCGTGTTAAACACTTTTGGTAATTTTAAATGAGAGTGGTGTATTAATGGAAAGGATTATATTGAATTCATCCATCCTGACTGTAGACCTATCCTTAAAGCTGACTAAGCCCACCCAGAGCTGCCCATATCTTAGTATGCAGTAAGTCTGATAAAAAGAACTAGAGGATTAAATATTTATGCCCTTTTAAAGTCTTGGGAAAAGGGAAGAGAAGGATATTATACAGTTACACAAATTAGATTTCCTGATAAGAAATCAATTATGTTATTTATCTGTCATGACTACTTGCATGCCACTGGCTAGATCATCATTTTCAGGTTGATGTAAATCCAGCCATCTTTTTGGGACTGTAATTATGTAGAGTACAAATCGAGTTGTGATTAAAAAGCTCAAACTCCTTAGTCAGACTAGTTTTATGAACTCATCCAAATTACTCATCTCCCTGTACCTCAACTTCTCCATGCATGAAATGGGGTTTCAATAGTTTCTGAATCCCAGGGCTGTTGTGAAGAGTAAATGAGAAAAATGAAAGTAAAGACCTTTCTCAGCACAGTTCCAGGTACATAGTAAGGATTGAATACAGCCTTACTGTTTTAGATTTTATTTCTTTATTGATCTGTCATGACCCTGCCTCTCTCTCACTCCAATAGTCACACTTACATAAAATCATAGAACTTTAAAACCAAAAATATTACTAGAAGTCAACTATTGACCCACTCATTTTTTAGAAGAGTAGATTGAAACTGGATTTACTGTGACATGTGTTAGATGAATCTGCTTCTTAGGGACAGAGCCAAGAGTAGACCACTTTCTACTATATCATACTGACTTTGAATAAGAACTGTATTATTTCGTCTGCATATTTATTAAGTCCTATTTTCTGCATAGCACTAGGCAAACCACTGGGGATTAAAAACAAAAAATGATAATATATATTCTTGAGAAGCACTCTCAGGGGAGGTGGGGTGGGGATGGAGGAGTAAATCCATGAAACTGCAGTAAGATACAGTGGTGAATACAGAGTTCTGCAAAGGAAGCTGCGAGACCATTTGACTCCTTCAGGAAGTCAATGTTTTAACAAATCTTCTTTTTCATAGATCCCAGGAATTCTGTGAAAAGCCACTTACAATCATGGTTTTCAAGCAAAATATCCATCACCACCCAGGTAGTCAGTCCCTACCTTTGTGTGTGTCACTTAGGATTGGACTCAGTACTTCCAGCACCATATCCTCTCTTATCAGAGGTGTTTGGGTTGGAGATTACCAATATTCTTCTACTACCTCTTCTGTTTCAGCCTAAAGATGTTTTTTAATTTGAGAGAGGAAACAGGTTAAACCGTGGCTTTAGAGCACAGATCCATTTGTGTTCAATCCAGTAATGCTGTTGACATGTTGTTTGACTTGGTAGGAATCATGCTGCATTTATCTGGTTATCTCTATCAAAATCTCTTATTTCCCAGAGTTATTGTGGGAAAGATTTTGCCCAAGTTATGCATGATACTTGTAATTATAAAATATTTTGCACTAAAAATGGTAATTGCTTATGTCAGTTTATTCTGTTAGATTTAATCATGGTATTTGCAAATATACCAGGAAGGAAAGTAATGAAATATTATTTGAAGACACTTTAGGGTCTCCTTCGTGTCTGGATGAATATATTTAATCTGTCTACAGGTAGATTAAGAGTTTTTTTTAACAAATACTTGAAATTTGTGTTCAACATAATTGCAGCTTAATTTTTGAGGCAAGAAGAGTTGGTATTTTTTGAAAGTCCTCAGGATTATGAACAATACTGATTTGGTGGAGCTATCATCCTGAATCTTATCATAAATTGCTGAACTCAACATTATTCATTTATTCATACATTCATTCAAAAGCAGTGCATTGAATTCTTATATATCAGTGACCAGGCCAGGTACTAAAGATACGTGGTTGAATAAACACCTTGTCTAGTACTCACTTAATAAGTGAATGAATAAATGCATCTATGAATATCTATCTATCTCTGTCCTACAGAGGCCCTCACACTCTAATAGAGGAGACAAAATTATACATAGCTAACTATAATACAATATTTAAAAGGTGATAACAGAATGATATTCAAAGTGCCATGGAAGAAGGCACGTATTATTTCTCCCTAGCAGCAGTGTCAGGAAATGCTTCCTACAATGATGCTTAACTAGGATATCAAAGAACTAGCCAACTCAAACCTCAAAATCAATGTAGAAATTCCATCATATACTGACTAATTTTTTTTCAATATTTTAAAAATGTTGGCTTACTTACAGCACTGTGGTTAAAAATCCAATAGTCACAAAAGTGTACGTGTGAAAGGTTTTTATCCCAAATTTGTCACCTAGTTATCCATCATTCCCTTAGCTTGGAGAATCCAGTGTAATCAGCATCCAAAGATACTTTACACAAAGACAAACAAATACATATGGAGAGTCTGTGTGTACACTTCCAGTTACATCCACATGCACGTATGCACTGACAATTGTCCTGTTTTTTCTCCATAAATAGTAGTACGGGTATAGCTTAGACATATTGTAGGTTTGGTTCCATGGGTTTGGATCACTGCAACAAAGCAAATAAAGAGAGTCCTGTGAAGCTTTTTGTTTTCAAGTGCATTTAAAAGTTATGTTTACACTATAATGCAGTCTATTAAGTAAGTAAAGTACTATGTCTAAAAAAAGTATAAACCTTATTTAAAAATACGGCCCAAAATGCTCACATTCACCTGAACCTTTAGCAAGACATAATCTTTTTGCTGATGGAGGATCTTGTCTTGATGTTGATGGCTGCTGACTGATCAGGGTGGTGGTTGCTGAAGGTTGGATAAGAATAAAGGATAAAGTTTGTTACACCAATTGCCTCTTCCTTTCATTAAATATTTCTCTGTAGCATGCAATGCTGTTTGATAGCATTCTGCTTACAGAATTTATTTCAAATTTAGTTCAAATTTGGAGGCAATCCTCTCAAACCCTGTCACTGCCTAACCAACTAAACTTACGTAATATTCTGAATCTTTTGTGCCATTTCCAAATGTTCACAGCATCTTCAACAGGAGCAGATTCTATTTCTAGAAACCATTTTCTTTGCTCAACAATAAGAAGCAATGCCTCATCTGTTTAAGTTGTTCATGAGATTGCAGCAATTCAGTCACATCTTCAGCCTCTGTTTTAATTCTAGTTCTCTTGCTATTTCCACCACATCTGCAGTTACTTTCTTCACTGAAGTCTTGAACTCCACATAGTTATCCATAAAAATTGGAATCAACTTCTTCCAGTCTCTTGCTCATGTTGTTATCTTGACCTTTTCTCGTGAATCACAAATGTTCTTAATAGGATTTAGAATGGTAAATCATTTCCAGAATATTTTCAATTTACTTTGTCCATATCCATTAGTGTAATCACTATCTATAGAGGCTATAGTCTTATGAAATGTATTTCTTTAATAAGACTTGAAGGTCCAAATGACTGCTTGATCCATGGACTGCAGAATGTGTGTTGCATTGGCAGCAATGAAAACAACATTAATCTCCATTAACATATCTATCAGAGCTCTTGGGTGACCAGGTGCATTGTCATTGAGCAGTAATACTTTGAAATAAATCTTTATTTTTTCCTGAAAAATAGATCTCAACAGTGGGTTTAAAATATTCAGTAAAACATGCTGTAAACAGATGTGCTGTTATCCGGGTTTTGTTGTTCAATTTATGGGACACAGACAGCAGATTTAACATCATTCTTAAGGGCTCTAGGATTTTCAGAATGGTGAATGAGCATTGGCTTCCACTTAAAGCTGCCAGCTACATTAGTCCCTAACATAAGGTAGCATGTCCTTTGAAGCCTTGAAGCCAGGTTTTGATTTCTCCTCTCTAGCTATGGAAGTCTTAGATGGCGTCTTCTTCCAGTGCTATATAAGATTCTTTTATCTACATTGAAAATCTGTTGTTTATTGTAGCCATCTTGATCAACGACATTAGATCTTCTGAATCAGCTAGATCCAGATAACTTGCTGTAGCTTCTCCAGTAGCCCTTGCTGCTTCCCTTTACACCTTTATGCTATGGAGGTGACTTTTTTCCTTAAATCTCATGGACCAATCTCTGCTAGCCTTATGTTTTTCTTCTGCAGCTTCCTCACTTTTCTCAGCCTTTATAGAATTGAAGAGAATCAGGGCCTTCCTCTAGGTTATTACGCTTTGGCTTAAGGAAATGTCATGGCTTATTTGATCTTCTATCCAGACCACTAAAACTTTCTTCATATTAACAAGAAGGCCATTTCACTTCTTTATCATTCCTGTGTTCACTGAAGTAGTGCTTTTAATTTCCTTTAAGAACTTTTCATTTACATTTATAACTTGGCTAACTGTTTGGTACAAGAGCCCTAGCTTTCAGGCTATTTGGCCTTTTGGTGTGCTTTGCTCACTAAGCTTAATCATGTCTAGCTTTTGATTTAAAGTGAGAGATGTGACTGTTCCTTACACTTGAACACTTAAAGGCTATTGTAGGGTTATTAATTGGCCTAACTTCAATATCATTGTGTCATAAGGAAAAGGGAGGCCTGAGGAGAGGGAGAGAGATGGAAGAACGGCAGGTCAATGGAGCAGTCAGAGCACACACCACAGTGCAGTTAAATTCAATGTCTTATATGGGCACTGTCCATGGTGCCCCAAAACAATTACAAAGTAACACGAAAGATCAGTGATCACAGGTCACCATAGCAGATATAACAACAATGAAAAAGTTTGAAATATTGCAAGAATTATTAAAATGTGACACAGAGACATGAGGTGAGTACACGCTGTTGAAAAAAAAATGGCGCCAATAGACTTGCTTGATGCAGGGTTGCCACAAACCTTCAATTTATAAAAAACCAAATAACTCTGAAGCGTAATAAAGTGAAGCACACAAAGCAATATATGCCTGTATGGTATAGATATTGTTCTGTACTTTGCTTTTTCACTTAAAAATATTTCTTAGAGATCACTTCCTATCAGATTTTTGTCACTTTAAGTCTTTTGCTGTAATAAAAAAGTCTTGCACCAATATTCCCATATATGTTATATTTTGTAGTAATAATCCTGAGCAAAGACCATTGCAAGATCAAAGGGTAATTTGGATAGATATTGCCAAGTTGCAACACTGTCCCACAGTGTACGAGAGTGTCTCTTTCTCTGTATTAGCATTAGCTATTCTTTAGCAGTTTGCTCTAAAATTCTTTTGATTTTTACTAATTTGGTTTGTCCCCTTCTGCTTTTAAACACCCCAATTATGAGTCATTTAATTCCCATATTTGACCCTGGGTCATTTTTTTGTGTGTTCGACAGATGCCAAAATCACTGAAACTTTATAGTAAATTTTTAAATTTTAGAGAGCAGGCACCCTGAATGCAATTCTCATGTATTTACTTTTTGGAAATTTAGTAACAACTGAAAAATTTGGGCGACAAAGCGAGACTCCATCTCAAAAAAAAAAAAAAAATCACTTTGGCATTTTGTTTAGGATAGCATTGCACTTACAGATGCATTTGGGAAATGTATCTTCTATATAAAACCCAGTCTCCTTATCAGGAACATGGCATACTTCTCCTTACTCAAGACATATTTTATTCTGTTCATAAGGTTTATTTGTTTGTTCATTCAAGTCTTGCACATTTCTTAATTTTGTTTAGTTCATATTTAGCATTTTTATTATTATGTCTATATAAATATGGCTTATAGTTGTGCTAACTAATAAACCATCACACTTTTATCTATATACAATGTTTTTGTTTTTCTGAAGCCATCAATTACCTCATATATATATTTATATATGTGATTATACATAAATATATATATATATATATATATAAAAAATGTATTTTATATGCTAAGATGTCTACTGGCTAAGTTTCCCCACACTCCCCCAGTGGCTCTATTAAGTATCTCTCAGTTGTCCATGTGTTTAAACCTGTCACATATCCCATCAGTTCTATTTTTTTTTCTGGTGATATGTTTCCTAGAGTCCTCTGTCTTCCTACTCCAATTATACTTGTTGCTCCTAGGTCTTCTGCAAAATCACCACCCTGGGCATTCACTTCCCAGTTACCCTGGGGTTTGCCTTTGCCTCTATACTATTGCATTTCTTGTCTCCTGTGTTTCATGTCTTCCTCATTCTTGGTTTTATCTACCATTTTTGGTGAAGTATGGACTCTGGAAGCTCTAGAAAGAATTCCGGGTCAAACATGTCTCACTCAAAATGTAGAAGGCAAGTCTCCATTATCTTCCAGATTCTTGCATGTGTCTGCTAAGAAGTTTGAAGTTTTTCTTTTCTATGTAATCTGTCTTTCTCTCTGGAAACTTTGAAGATCTTGTTTTTACTCCTAATGTTTGGAATTTCCATGACAGAAATATCTTTTAAAAAATTGCTATGCCAGGAATTCAGTGGGCTTGAGATTCATGTCTTTTCATTCTAGAAAATGTTCTTGTATCACTTCTTTAAGAAATTGTTTCTTACCATCTCCTTTTTTGTTTTTCTGGGACTCCTACTAATTAGATTGTGGGTCTCCTGGAGAGATAAGATGAATGTAGACTCATTCACCAAATGCTAACCCAGATGAATTGCATTATTAAATTTGAAAGTACTCCCTTTATGAAAGACACACAGAAACAGTATATGCTATAGCCATAAAATGGAATTTAACATCAAGAAGTGGTTAAAACTGAAACTAATGATATGTATGTTTTAAGATATTTTAATGTGTGCATGTGATACGCATAATGATAAAACCATCTGTGGAGGCCTACTGACCTGGATTGAGTTTACTTTGCCCCTTAGTGCCTACTTAAACTCTCTAAATAGGTTTCCTCATCTGTAAAATTAGGAGGATTATGGTATTCATTATATTTAATTTTGGCAGTTAAATAAGAAAATGTATTTAAAGAAGCTTGCACAATGTCTGGCATACAGTAGTTACTCAATAAACATTATTTGTATATTGTTACTGATGGAATGAGTTACTAAGGGGAAGTTGAGAATGTTCAGAATATTTTACCCATTAGAATTTTACTTCATAGAGAGCTGCCATGTGTTTCTACAAACATCCTGCTGTGACTCTGTATGACATGAACATTGCACAAAATGGGCCATTTGTCTGACTTCAGAATAGCATACCTAATATTATATTCCAGAAAACCCTTTTTGTTGCCATGCTGATGAATAGCTCAAGAAATTATTTATCAAGCTATGTGATTTAGTTAACCCAGTCAGATACTCGTTTAATCTGTGAAGAAAGATAGGCAGTCAAATGAAGCAAGAAAGATGGGCACAAGCAGAAAGAGGTGGTGATGTCAGAGGAAGAAAAACAAATGTAGAGGGCACCAAAACCAAGAGCAGGCTATTAGAAGAAGGAGAGACCTCAAAAATCCATTGGGTTGAGATGTTGTTTGAGTAAAAAGGTTCTGTTAGTGTGCTAAGTGAAATTCCCTGGAATACTCCCAGAAACAGTCTAGTGGGTTAATCTCATCAGAGACACAAATGACAAGACCATTGGAGATGGAGACACAAATTCACTAGAATAGTTTTAGCTGTCAAAGTCATTCCATCATGCAGCTAAAACCAAGAGGGAGAAATGTTAGTTTTTATGCCTAGGGTTTATTCACTGAGTAATAGCAGAGGATCTTCAACTCTATTCATGTACTTGTATATCTGTGTAAGATTCCATGGGTCCCTGGTGCTTTGACTGTTGTCTCGTTATCTGATTGCTCTGGTTTATCATGCTCTTTCTGAAACAAAGACTAAGAAAAAGGAGAAACACAACCCATGGAATAACATCCTACTCCTAATTTAGAGTGATGTGATGTTAACAGTAGCTTACCTGATCACCCATGAGGCCTCTAAAGTCCTTAGTTTCTCCTAGGGTTTTGTGGCAAAAGTGATGAAGTGGGACTAGATAGAATTATTTTCTAGTCATGGTTCTGCCAATTGTTCTGAGGGAAAACCCCTAACTTCTCTAAGACTGCACTTTTCATGTCTATAAAATTATTTTATTCCTGTAGCTAGACGATTCTTAAGCCCTTTGGGTCAAGTGCCATTTGAGAATCTGATAAAAGCCACAACTTCTCTCCTTAGATTTATGCATGTTGCAATATTACAGATTAGCAAAAAGTGAGCATACACAGGCAGGCATCCTCTGCAAAGTTAGATTGGATTTCTAACTTATTTTCCCAAAAATACAAAATATTTGAGAAATGAGGTGGCCACACAAACCAGAAATAGATGCAATCAATCCCAGTGTAGTTTCTCTTGGGCCTAAGGTGCCTAACAGGGGCCAATTACACTATTTGTGCAAATTAGAATCTCACCTGATCCAAGAGGGGGAATTCTTGCTGTGTCACTCTCCTTTATATTCAAGGCTTGTATCTCCATTGGTGAGCTTACACTAACAGCCTGTGAACTTCCAGTTAAGAAAATTTTTTACAGAAAATTCGTTCTTTATTCTGTAATCGAATGGTATCAGCTCAGCCACAGTCTTATCTAGGGAAAAAGCAAAATCAATGCCCTGATCGCTACATCAACTGTTTTAGACTTTCAATAGATAAATCATTTCTTTCCACACATACACACACACCCACACCCACACCCGCTTCCCCGCCCCCCCTACCACCACATACACACACTACACAGTGCACGGTTTGGCACATAATTTCAGAGAGTTCAGACACTCCCCCAAATTTATCCCATGCACTCCAGATTAAGAGTCTTTTATCTGGAGTATCTTTATGATGTTTCTGACATCTAAAATGTTATCATCTTTTTTTTTTTTTTTAAAGACAAGGCCTTACTCCCATTGCCCGGGCTGGAGTGCAGTGGTGAACTCATGGCTCACTGCAGCCTCAAACTCCTGGACTCAATCAATCCTCATCCTTAGTCTTAACCTCCTGAGTGTCTGGGACTATAGGTATATACCACCATGCCTGGCTAAATTTTTTTTTTTTTTTTTTTTTTGTAGAGATGGGGTTTCGCCCTGTTGCCTAGGCTTGTCTCAAACTCCTGAGCTCAAGAGATCTGCCTGCCTCAGCCTCCCGAAGTGCTGGGAGATTACAGGCGTGAGCCATAATGCCTAGCTAAATGTTATCATTCTAAGCAAGCTATAATAGTTTTCTTATCACCAGTATTCCTTCAGACTACAGTGGGAGGATTTGGGGGTGGAATGAGTAACTTTCATGTTTACAGCTTTCAGACCAGCAATACAGCTTTTTCTTTTTAATTTATTATTTTTCTCTGTTTTAATGGTAAAGTTGATAGAGTGTTGAAGCTAACATGAAAAGTTCAGAACAATTTCATCTCTTACTCTTGTTCACATTAGAGATTATTATGTTCCAGAATCATATTTCTAAAATCCAAGATGAAATAGTTTGGGGGAGTCTTTCTATATTGACTTCAGCTGTGAATGAAGTAAAAGTATTGTGGTTTCTGTTTCTACTTAATTTAATCTACCACTTTGTCTTGAGAGAAATGAGATATCTTACCTTTTATGTTTCATCTGAAATTTCATCTCGGCAAATTCCTGTTTAACCAGAAATTGGTTTCATACTCATGGTCACCATTATTATTTGTTCATTTAATACTGTTCAACTAAACATCTTGTGGTGCCCTTACTGACCTATTTAGCCATTCATTCCAAAAATAATCTATGGGAAGGGGTAACATTTACTGAGCATTTACTGTGTGCTGGGTACTGTGCTAAACACTTTGCAAATACCATCTCCTTTAATCCTATTTTGATTGCTTCTTTTCAGGGATCTGGAAGTTATATTCTGCTTTACCATGATTTGAACCAACAGGTTATAACTGTTTGTGAGAAAGAAATGCATTTCATTTCCCTGAAGCCTTGGGGTCACCCTGCTGTGCTACCTCGGTGGTTAGTAAGAAAGTGGAGATAAGGACAAAGGCCATGTAGCAGCTGTATGGAAGGGAAAATTGCTGGGTTTCTGAGTGGTACCAGGAATTGACTGCTTTAACCTCCAACTGAGGATCTTGGAAAACCTTGGAAGTGAAGAAGGATCAGGGAAATAAAACTTGTGAGTGCCTCCTAAGTATCATGCTTAGTAATATATGCTTTGCTATATTTCATCCTCACTTTACTATGTGAAATTGGTCTTATTACGTCTGTCTTCAGAGAAACCTGAGGCTCAGACAAGTCACATGGCTAATGCATGTTGCTATGGTTTGAATATTTGCGCCCTTCAAAAATCATGTTGAAATGTAATCTCCAATGTGGTGGTACTGAGAGGCGTGCCTTTAAGAGGTGATTGGGTCATGAGGGCTCTGCCCTCATGAATGGATTAATCTATTCATTAGTTAATGGATTAATGGGTTATCATGGGAATAAGATTAGTGGCTTTCTAAGAAGGGGAAGAGAGATCTGAGCTAGCACAATCAGCCGCCTTGCTATGTGATGTTCTTTGCTAACTCGGGAATCTGCATTGTCCCCACCATCAAGAAGGCCCTCACAAGATGCAGCCCTTTGACCATGGACTTCTCAGCCTCCATAACTGTAAGAAATAAATTGCTTTTCTTTATAAATTACCCAGTTTCAGGTAATCTATTACAAGCAGCAGAAAATGGACCAACATACATGTGAAACTGGGGCTTGAACTAGTCCTGTTAGCCTTCAAAAAGAAAAAAAACCAAAAAAACCTTTTTCCTCGCTTCACAATGGAGAGGAAAGAAGAGAAAAAGGCATGGTGGGGAGGGGAATTGTGCATTTACAAAAGCAACGTGAACATCAGAAGTTAAGAGGTTAAGACTGACAGAACCTGATCAGAATTCCTGACTTAGATGCTGGATTGATAGGAGGCTGTGTTAACAACCTGAAGGTAGGAAAAATTAGATGTTGGGAAGCAAATAGAGAAATAAAAAATAATACATATACTCAATTTACAGCTGAAATAACCCTGTTTAAATTGATTGTTTTAGACTGTGAGCCACATTCTTTCATAATATATGCTATAAACTATTTTGAGCAGCTGATCTTTTTTTTTTTCCTTCAAAATGCATCTGAGGTTTTTTTCTAACTGACCTTAAAAGTTTAATCACATATATCCAAGGGACGGTAAAACGTGAGTAAGCCAGTTTCTGAAAATTATTTTGCCCTTTGCAAAACAAGTCTTTTTAGGGAGAGAGACTCCTCCTATCATAATTTAGGGTCTTTAAATTGGAGCAATGAGAAATCATCTTAATTAAGGAAAACCCTTAAGTCTTCCCCAACAGCTGGTTTGCTTGCAAGTAGGAAAGACTAAAAATGAATCAGAGAAAAAGGGTTTGCACAATTTCTAAAATAACTTGATATATTTAGAAGTGTGACTCTGTGTGTGTTTTCTTGTGCAAATCTAGAAAACCAGAGAGCTTGTGTGAGTTTTAACTATGTTGTAATTTTCAGAATCTTCAAGTATCACGTAAAATACGCAGCATAGTTCTGCAGTTCTATAATGTTCTGTTTTGCTTGGTTGTGAGATTCATATTGGCATAGCAATGTATGAGAGTAAACATTTAATATTTTAAATTTATAAAATGCAGTTGCTGTATGTACAAACATAGGAAAAAGGTATATGATAGTGTGTAAGATATTTTAGGTATATGATACCTTATGGCTATTAATGAGAAACAGTACACCAGAGAAGTGCTGTTTTAGACAGGTGTGTGCATCCCTTTTCCCCTCTGTAACCTGTGATGTTATTTGGAGGTTTGTCCATTGAACAACAGGTGGTGCCTAATGTTAAAGGCCAAAAAGCAGTTACTATGGAAACCAGATGCAAATTTAGATCTGCGTCCACTTTTTACCACGTACAGAAAAAAAAAAATGTTATAATAGAAATAAAAAAACTGAAATATGATTCACATTCATGTCTTCTGAGTCTTAAATGTCTGCCAAATACGGAGATGTTCAATAAGCTACAACTTCTTAGCCTGAACTTCCAATAAAATCTTAAAAATGATGAAATTAGAGAACACTTCAAAATGTTCTTTTTATTTCTTCATTTGTCAAAATTCCCTTTTCTAAATATAGATCTAAAATAATAGCAAATCTATTTTTGGACTATGTAAAATCTATAAATGTATAGATAAATAGTATTTACAGTACTAAGTGCTTATTATATATAATTTATAAAATGCTGAAAAGTAAAATGAAAACGAATCATGCATAGTTCCAAGACACAGAGAAAACAGTCTTTTTAATATAATTATTTAATATATTTGAGATCATGCACACATACTATAAACACATGTGGTTTGTTCTGTTGCTTTTTTTCATTTAACATAACATCACAACATCATAAGCCAACACATTAAAAATAGTTACTGGACATAACTTTAACAACAGCACAATATATGATTCTATAGATAGACCTTAAAGTACTTCATCTTTCCTGGTTTTTTCAACAAATTAGGAGTTTGAGCTTTTTTGTTATTATATTTTAACACTACAATGACTGTCTTTGTGCATAAACATCATCCACATTTTACATATGTGCCTGTAAGTAGAATAGTAGGGTAAGAAATACAAATTTTAGATTAATGTATATTCCTTTCTTACATATATGTAATATATATAGTATCATATATACATTACATATATAAAGAGAGAGAGAAAAAAATTTTTTTTCCTTTACGAAAGACAGAAAACCAAGTAAAACTGAGGGAATGAGGTAGGAGAAAGTTTTTGGTCCACATAACTCAAATAAGCCTGACTTTAGGTACGGTTTGACTCAAGGGTTTTAACAATGTTAATATCAATAACAGCGAATATTTCTTGAACAGTTTCTACATGTCAGGGACTGTTATGTACTTTATATAACTAACTCATTTAACTTTCACAGCATTCTATGAAGAAAATACAACTATGATTCCCATTTTACAGCTTTCTCTTGATCTCCTGTTTCTGCTCTCCTCTGTATGGCCTCATTCCCAGGCAGGTTCTCTCTCTCTAGCTGCTCCAGATTCATTCCCTCAGACCAAAGTCCACAAAATGACTCTTGCCTCTTTCCCACTTGCTCAGGCAAAAGTTTCACAGTTAACTCTGGTCCTGCCTCCTGGATTGGCCTTGACCCCATTCTTGGCCCCATTGCTAAGGGAACATTAGACCCTGATATGTCATTCCTGAGCTAAACTCTTACCCACCCCTGGAGCTGGGAATGGAGTTAGCTGCCTCAAAGTACATGACCTCAGAGTAAAGGATGGAATATTTCCCCAAAGATAAACCAAGTACTGTTTTCAAAAGCAGAGTAAATGGAAAGCAGATGGCCACTTCCACTACAGCATCAAATCCCACTACAATGAGGACTCAGAAATTTTTGGTTGCATTTAGAGAAGAGAACAGTGCATCAAGCTATTTGGACGAAACATATCTTTCTGGTTCAAGATTCTGAGGACTAGAAATTAATACATTTGGCCGGGCGCGGTGGCTCACGCCTGTAATCCCAGCACTTTGGGAGGCCGAGGCGGGCGGATCACAAGGTCAGGAGATCGAGACCACGGTGAAACCTCGTCTCTACTAAAAATACAAAAAATTAGCCGGGCGCGGTTGTGGGCGCCTGTAGTCCCAGCTACTCGGGAGGCTGAGGCAGGAGAATGGCGTGAACCCGGGAGGCGGAGCTTGCAGT